GTTCGATGAGAGTGGTGATAATGCGGATGAAGAGATGAGCCAGAGAAGGAGGAGGTTGTGGCGTGTGGCTCCAGTTTTTGTCTCGGAATGGGAAAAGTAAGTAAGAATTTTTTGATTGTAGAGTGTAAAACAGAGTTAAAATCTTGAGCTCTGTGTTTTCAATGAACAGGTGGTTGGATGAGCAGAAGAAGCTGGCTAATGTTTCCTCAGACTCTCCAGTGTAAGTTGTGTTCTTTGCATTTGGTTTGAAACCGGTTTAAGACTGAATCTTGCATCGGTTCTTGAGCTGATTATGAGTGGTTTTGTGATCCGTGATGCGTAATTGTTGGTTTTTAGGTATTTGTCTCTGCGTTTGGACGGGCGTGTAAGAGGAAGTGGAGTGGGTTATCCTCCATGGCAAGCCTTTGTTGCACAGCTTCCTCCGGTTAAAGGAATGTGGACCGGTCTTCTTGATGGTATGGATGGTAGAGTGTAGATACTCTCATATTTAGGGACATAACTACAAGTTTTCTTTTTGTCTTTATTAAAAAGGAAATGTATAGTTGTGACAAAGATTTTTATTACAAAATCATTAGTTTCACTTCCGCGGTAATTGTGTTTGGGAAATACGATTTTTGCAATCAAACTGGAGCTGAGGCAGACTGGACTGAGTGCTTTACGTAGTTACCAAGCAACATTATACCGGTTTTAAAATGGTTTGAAATAGCAATAATTCAGAAAACCGACTCATTCAGAGGGCGATAAATAATTTGATGAGCTTTTTAGGTACATACGGTTCGAGTCAAGTTACAAACAGAAAGACCGGTATAGGGATTAAACCAAATACACACATAGTTTCTCTCAAATTTAAGATGCAACTTCTTCGACTTCGTCCAATGCATAGTTGTTGGTGGATATGTTGGCGTAATTCACTTTAGCGAACCGGACAACAACTGGATACCGGGTCTTTGGGTCCTGCACATTTGAAAATTGAAACCCGGGTAAGAGAATTTACACAAACCCGCATGGTGAAACATACAGTGTATATATATGATCGTTAATTGGAGATTAAATGCGTTACCTGATCAACGGCCACAACTGATCCAACGTTCTTGAACCAGTAGGATTCTCTCCTTAGAATCTTGACCTACAAACAACCCCAGCAATTTGTATAAATATCGAATGTAACTTCCAAATAATCAAAAACACTCAAATTGCATTATCATCTCTCATTAGTAGTAACAAATCGAATGACGAGAGTTTGATAGAGAAGACACATTGAAAATGAGATGGAACCTAAAGTAATAGATCGTCATAACCTCATTTGTGAAACCGAAACTATTTTGTCGTTATAATTGCAGTTTTTTTTTAACTGGCCTTCACTATAATTACAGTTTGCACAAGCATAACTGTGTAATTTCATTTTGTTATTTTACCAATTAAAATCAAAGCAACTCAAATGAAATTCGTTATTAGACATACTAATCCATCGATCGACATGTAAATTTGGGGTATGCATGCGTATATTAGTAAATACAAGATGGTTTTAGTTAGCTGACCTTGGACCCTCTCTTGGGGCCAATCGGAGGCGGCTTGGGTTTGGTAGCAGTAGCTGCGACCGGAGCAGCGGCGGTTGCTGGAGGAGCTTCCGATGAAGATGTCGCGGGAGCTGGCTCTTCCGCTGCCCTGACTACGAGCCTAGAACCGGCGCTTCTCATCGGCAAGAAAGACACGGAGTTCCTAGACGACGAAGTGCCGCCGGTCGCCGGCACGTTGGCCGTCAAAACAAACACCGAAGATGCTGACGTAAACGCCATCTTTAGTTTTCTTTTTCTTCTTCTTCTTCTTCTTGTTGTTGTTCTTCCGATACGAAATGGTTGATCTTGATTGTTTTGTTGGTTGTATAATATTGTTCGAAAGGCTAAGAAAAGAGGAAGTGTAGAAGATGTTTTGGGTTAAACGAATCGTTTCCCTCCACTTGAGAACTGCCACGTGTACATGACATATCTGTTCTTAAGGATAATGCTGATGTGGCATTTTGATACTCTCTTTCTTCATATTTTGTTTGTTTCCTCCGTTCATGGAATGAAAAATAAAAACGAATTATGTGGGGGAAAAAATGTTATATCAAGTGATTCCTAGCAACTTAGGAAAAAAAGGAAAAACAAAACTATGTGATTTATTCCACAGGCATTCTTGCTGTAACTAACTGTATGTAATTGATCAACCATTATCAGGATGCGGGATATCCAACGCATCTTCACTGTTAGAACTAAACTGTATGTAAGGATGACAACATGCTACCCAGACCTGCGGGAATAATATCCAATTAATCCATAGTGCCTTTTGTGGTAAAGTAAATTTAAAAAAAAGAGTAAATAATAAACCATAACACATAAGTCTTGTACCAGTGTGTAATTAGAAAACGGTAAGAAAGAAAAAGATCTTACTTTACTAAGATGAAAGAGAAATAGTGATCGCGTTAAGTAGTGACCGCCCCAACCCCTTTGTTGTTGGGAAAAAAACGCACAATGAGAGAGAGAGAACAAATTTTGATGATTAAGACTACATTCAATTGCTTATGCTTATTTCAACATCACTTTGACACTCTACAATATTTTGATCGATATTCATAGTTATGATTTCACTCTTAATGGGATGTCTTTGTGAACAATAAACAAAGTTACATGTTATAAACTTAGCCACTGAAAATCCCACCATCACTCCAATCTCACCATCACAAACTTAGCCACTAAACAAAGGTAAATCTAGCAGGTTGCTGCAAAGTTGCTCCCTTCCGTGAGTCCGTGACACTGACACTCCAAAGTTTGTTCATTGCATACGCTCCAACAAATCGGCATCAACCGCCATGTCAAAACGCTCCTAGAGCGCTTGCTTAAAACTAGTGTGTACACTTTATATTCTTGTATCAACATTAATAGACTATACACGACATATATAGACGAAGCAAGTAATGCATTAAACAGACATCTCTCTCTTTTCATGTAACTGATTTCTCAAGTCTCACGAACCCCGTTTTATTTTATTATATATTATATATATTGTCCACATTGTTTAGTTCATGCATACACCAACTTGTAAGACCACTACATGTGAACATGTCGATATACGAAACAAGTTACACAGCTACCAAAAGAACAACTTAAACGCGCGCATACAAATATCGTGTGATAAAATTGAAATATCTGTAAGTTATGAACTGTATTGGTATTATAGTATTTGGTGTTTATTGTAATGAGTGTAGTTCTCACATGAAGCGGAACACTTCTTGTCTTATTTGTCTCCATAAACTAATTATTTAGTGCCATCAAATGGCCATGCTGTTCCTTTCCTCTTTGATTCTTTCAAGATTTTGTGTTTTAATGGTTTAAAAAAAATTCTCTAGTTTATTTTTGGAAAAACGTAGTATCTGAGTGATGTATTATGTATATAGTTAAGTTGATAATAATCTTAAAACATAGATACTTCAATTTTTCAGGTCTGGCCAGCTAATAGGAGTCAGACAAGTACGCCCAATTAGTTATAAACCGACTAGTTAGATCGATGGAACAAAACAAGTAACCAACAAATTTATAAAAATAAAATTTATGCTTAAGCTTGACAATAGAGAGATATCAATGAGCAACTAGTGAGTTTATCTAACTCATGTATGTAACTCATATTTCTTTTCCCTCACAGAGCCACGTCATCTGAAACCTTATGCTATAAACCAAATTAACGAATGATTAAACAAAAATCTGGTTTTAGTGAGACTAGAAGTCTATAACTCTACACGAAGAAGAGGAAATATGATAATGAAAGTGTGGACTTAAGCACGTGGGATGCTACGGGTTGTCTGTGATTTGCTAAAGGGTCTCAGGACCTCAAAAGTAAGTTTTAATCATAAGATAATAAATAAGTTGCACAACAAATCTTAAGGAAAAGACATTTGCTTGTCAAAACCATCTTTAGTACAGGTCAACTAAACTCTTTATTAATGTAGCAATTCCAAAATATGTATACTGTTTTCTTTTCTTGTCGAATTTCAAATATATTGGCCGTAAATGGTGATACAACTACAACTTGGCTAAAACACAAGGAAAGTATAACAAATTTTGTCAATGGAGGATCATTTGACTGGATTGGACAAAATTATAATTTTGTGGCTTAAAAAAGATCATCATTATGCGAAGTTTTCATTCTGTACTACTGTATTATCATCACTTAAAGCCATGCTTTGTTTATGGCTCTACGTTTTTGTTGCTCTTTTTTTTTGGTTATATATATATCATTAATTAAGATTAAATATGTATATATTCGCTGGTCCATTTCAGATTTTCTTTATTTGGTCCCATTTTTATTGAAGTATGTAAAACATGTAGAATCACGTGAACAAAAAACCAACCTAACGATAGTTGAAGCCATATATCGATTATTGTTAATTAGGCGCTTTGTCTCCTTTATGACTGCATACTTTACATGGCCTTACGCATGTTTTACAGATTATCATGATTTCGATCTCAAGTTCTCGGTTATAAAATGACATTAAAGAAAGACGCCTCTTAAAAACCAATATAGTAGACCAATATAGTAGACGAAACAATAAATTTGTATGGGAAAAACCGATATTCATCACCAATAGTAATTTGACAAGAAAGAAATGGAACATCATCATTCCACTGCCCATATATTATCTACTATAGTACTAATTGTGAAAGTAGCACAACAAGCAAAGGATTTGGTTGTTGGGCCACACCAAATTTTTATCAATGCATTCATTGTGAATGTCAAACTGTGACGAACAATCCATGCAATCAAAAATAGATATAAATTATCATAAGCTGATTTTGCTTTTAGACCTAATCACTCCAAGTTTAATCACATCTCTTTTTCACTCTTGTTAATTTCTTACACAATTTCTGCAAATAGTTATGATGTTTCAAACGTAATTTTCCACCATTAAAAAGTACTAATGATCACTATTTTTCAGCCACTTCTAAACAAAATCATGTTGACTTAAATGAACCAAATTCGTTTTCAGATTGTCAATATGTTTGACTATATTGCTTGCTTACACTGATATTTTGTTTACCACCGAAAATAACCGAGGCTCAGAATTACATCTAGTTGATTTTTGACAAAAATTAATATGAATAATATTCTCTTTTTCTTTTAACTGAATGGTAATTTTCTTTTTTTAGTAACATGAATTATATTCAATTTCCCGATGTGGTAGTATTATATTTTACCCAGGATATGAATTGTTATTTTGTTTCATTATCTCAGTTCAATATTGTTGAATTTTAGCTACTGTAATAACATAACAGCATAACACCAACCAAAAGACATAAAGAGAAGATATTGCAATTTGTTTATTTTATTTTTAATAATTGGGGAAGCAAACGAAGAAGAGAACACAAAAGAGCAAGAGAGTCCAGAGAAGCATTTTCTTCTTTCCTCTCTCCTTCTCTCTCTCTCTCTTCATATGTTTAAGTCTGTACGTGAGATTCCGTAGTTAGCTCCAATTTCTTTAAATCCCTTTCGCGTCCGACGTCATTCCCCACTCGGTGAGCGCGTGAGATTCCCGAGTAGAGAGACAGATTTGGCTACTTCATCGCCGGCGGCATCTTCTCCGGCGGAGTTTCCGATGTATCTATCTACCTAGCTAGCTCCTAACCCTTAACTTTCAGGTCTCTCTCTCTCTCTCTCTCTCTCGCTCTCTCCCCGAGAGTAAAGCGAAAAATGTCAGAGTCATTAGCTCTGATCTCACTTTCCGATGCTCTTTCTTTTCCAATTTTCTCGTTTCGATTTCTTGTTTGCTTTTCTCTGTCCTTACTTGATATAGATTCTGAATCTTTATCCTCTCTCTATCTCTCTGCACCGATTAGCAGATTAGCTTCCTTTTTTTATTTTCGCTTCTTGTCTTGCAGCGGAAATTTACAATTACTTCCAATTCTGATTGAAAAAAAAACTGAATTGATTTACTCTTCTGTTTGTCGATTTGCTTTGTTGTAATTAAAGTTGTAGCATTTATTACCGATGTCACTTCATTTTTGGGAGGGCCAAATTTGAGTGTATATATAAAGGAAGCTCATTGATTGATACTAGAGAGTTCTATTTGATAAATGTAGATCCGGTGTGCCTGAGGATTTTGCTTGGATTGTTTACTGAAGAAGATCCGAGAGACACGTTTCAGTCTTATATTATAAAGGTAGAAAAATTGTAATTTTTCAGTAAGAGATTGTTAAGAGTACAAAAAGTGTCTGTCTTTTGATTGTGATAGGTCATGTGAAAAATGGCAATTGGTTCTTCTTTCCTTTTGTCAAGACACTATGAAGTGTCCCTGTGATACCAGAATCTTATTCTCCTTTTCTTTTCTCTTTTTGCTTACCGAATTCTTGTTTGGTTATGCTTGGATTGTTCTCTTCTTTGCTAACTAGATATTCTCTGTTCTTCTATACCTTTCTCACTTTTCCTGGATCTTTAGTATAAAGTTTTGCATCTTTCGTCTCCGTCTCTCTCTACAACTCCTAAATGATTGTTCCAACATTCTATTTCATTTTAAAGCATTCAGAGATGGAAAGTTTCTTCATTGGGAATCTTTGCTTGTTAGTTTCTTGTCACCTAAACTGAAGTCAATCTTGCATTTTCTCCTCCAAGAACCATTATAGTCTGTCATGCCAATTTTCTTCATAATCTGCTTCCAAGATAATATAACTAATAGCTGTGAAACTGCAGGGACCAAAATGAATGAACTCCGAGGCAGAAAGGTTCAAAAGATCGAAACTCCGGTTCCAGGATGCTTGGGAAGGATGGTGAACCTATTTGATCTAGGAACAGCTGTTAATGGGAACAAGTTGCTTACCGATAAACCACACCGTGATGGTAATTACTATATCCTTCTGTGACTGCTTTGTTCACTAAATAAAGGAGACTTTACCGGTGTGTTATTGACACGAGGTAGTTTGTTAGCAGGATCCTCTCTGTCAAGGAGCCGATCTGATGTGACTCGAACGCCAAGCCCCTCTCATAAAAGCCGTTTAGAATCTGAGTTGGTAAGTGTCCTTATTTGCACCGCTTGATGTTTGTTATTATGGTCACGGCATCTGATATCTCTTGCCTGGCATTGTGTGCACAGGTAATGCCTGATCTAAGGAGAAGTGCTTCTAGCAAAGTAAGTGGCACACCGATGAAGAAACTCATTGCTCGAGAGATGTCAAAAGAAGTCGAACCTAAACAGAGCCCAACTAACGTGGTTGCTAAGTTGATGGGTTTGGAAACATTTCCTCAGCTGCAGCTTGAGACTCCTCCACAGCAGCGAAGCAAATCCAGAAGCTATTCACACTCTTCACCGAATCAAGCAGTGGATAACGAGGTCCAAAAGTATGAAGAGCTCAGCAGAGAATTCAAAGATGTGTATGAAATGTGGCAGTCTCCTCAGAAGGTGAGTCGTTCAAGGGATAGCTCTCCTAGAAGAGGAAGATATGATGAGAGCACGACTGAGAAACTTGTTCGTCAGAAGTTTGCGGAAGCAAAACGCCTTGTAACGGATGAAAACCTTCACCAGTCCAAAGAGTTCCAAGATGCACTTGAGTTCTTAAGCTCCAACAAGGACTTGTTTGTTAAGTTTCTCCAGGAATCAAACTCATTCTCTCAGCATCTCTCCGACTTGCAGCATGCTCCTCCTCACTCAGAGGCGAAGCGCATCACGGTACTGAGACCTTCAAAGGCTGTTGAAACTGAGAAATATGTAGTTCAAGGGAGGAAGAACAAGCAGGTCAAGAAATTGGCTTCATCAAGTCAAGAAAGTGGATGGAGAAATGGTTACTCGTCATCTTATGTCAACCGAAGCGAGGAACATCCTGTACATCCAACTAGAATTGTAGTCTTGAAGCCTAGTCTAGGGAAGTCTCTTGACATAAAAGCTGTTTCATCATCTCCATCCTCACCGAGGGGTTTACATAGTGGAGCATATTTTGATGAGCTTGGAGACGTTGAGACTAAAGAAGTAGCCAAAGAAATTACTCGCCAAGTGCGTGAAAATCTGATGGGTCACCACAGGAATGAGACTCAGTGTTCTTCTGTGCTCTCCAATGGTTATAACGGAGATGACAGTTCGTTTAACAAGTCTGATAACGAAGATCCAGTGGGAAACCTTAGCGATTGTGAGATCATGTCACCACCTTCTAGGCATTCGTGGGACTGTCCAAACAGGTTTGAAAGTCCTTTCTCTCCTTCCTCTTTCAGCCGAGCTTCGTTTTCTCCAGAGTCATCTGTCTGCAGAGAGGCGAAAAAGCGTCTCTCTGAAAGATGGGCGTTGATGTCAGTAACCGGAAGCACTCAGCCGCAGCATAAACATGTACTAAGAACCTCAAGCACCTTAGGGGAAATGCTTGCACTCTCAGAGACTAAAGTGACAACTGAACCTTACGAAGAGAGCAACGAAGTAGCATTAGAGACAAGAGCGTCGACGTCATGCATAACCAGTGATGTGAGTCAAGTGGAAATGGCAAATGATTCTCTGAATATCCTTGCAAGGTCAAAATCAGTCCCTGTTGTTAGGCTCAACGGAGAACCATCTGCTTCAGGGACTTCCAATGCACAGGCTCCACGAGAGCTGACTGAGACAGGAAGCTTGAAATCGCCATGGAAAGTCTCAAACTTGTTCTTCTTCAAGAACAAGAAAGCAAGCAAGGAGAAAAGAGATCCATCTCAGCAAAGCAGTATATCTCAAACAGCAACGCCTTCTTCTTCTGTGACTCCTCCCGGGGAAGATTGTGTCCCTCCTGATGCATCACAACTGCAAAGTATAGTCTCTGAAGAGGTATCCATCCCACCAATTCTCTAACACCTTTTTTTCAACGTACTCAAGGAGCCATTCATGATTCTGAAACATTCAATGCTTTAATCAGAAGCCGTTTTTGATTCGTTTTGCAGGAGGAGCTGACTACACCAAAGCCCCTAGCGGCTGGGAATACAGGTGAAAACCAGGACCAGCCGAGTCCCATTTCGGTTTTGTTTCCGCCATTCGAAGAGGAAGGTGTCGCCACTCCAGAATGTTCTGGCTCATCCAAGCCATGGACGACGACTCAAGGTTAGTTCTCTGATTGCTTAGCTTTTTTTTCATATAGTTTTGTTCACTGACACTAATCCAAATGCTCTCCATTCTCAACAGGAGAGGAAACGTCTCTTAAATCTAACCTTATAGACAAATCACCACCAATAGGCTCAATCGCTCGGATCCTCTCATGGGAGGATGATGATAACTCTTGCACAGACAACATATCTAAACCAGAAGTGGGAGTCCATGAAGATGAAGATTGGTACTTCTTCATAGAAACGCTCTTGACAGCTGCTGGTTTCAGCAGAGGCTGCACCGTCTCTCTAATGTCACGGTGGAGCTTGCCAAACAGTCCTTTAGACCCTTCACTCAGAGACAAATACACCAATCTAGACATCAACAACAACGTCAAGGAGTTTATCCAAGAAGGCAAACGCAGACAACAAAGATCAACACGTAAGCTCATTTTCGACCGAATCGACTCCATCGTTTCGGAAACAACTAGCACGGGCAATGATGACTCTCCACGTTTCGACCTGGTGGAGCATGTTTGGTCTCAGCTAAAGGAATGGCTCTCAGATGAGCCTAGCAAGTGTGACTCAGTAGAGGAGATGGACGCGAATAGTTTTGCTGCAGAGAGTCTAGTGAAGGAAGAGATTGTGGGGAGGACATGGACTCGTAGCTTGCAAGTCGAAGTAGATGACTTTGGGATTGAAATTGAAAGCAGATTGTTGCAAGAGCTCGTAGAGGAAGCCATTATCGATCTTACACGATGAAATAAGAACAACAGCATAGTAATCACATTGAATAAAACTGTAAGATAGTGTAATTTTTGTCTCGATTTTTGTTGGTAACGATTGAGAGAGAATCCCAAATGTTATGTAGCAGAGCAATAATCAGATGTTCCCATTTTCACACACAACTCTCTTTACGGTTTTGTACAAACACTCCAAAACGAAAGCTACATTACGATGTGAACAGAGTATGGAAGAGAGAAAAAAGCATCAAACGATGATACATAGCTGTGTAATGTCTATGCACACTCTGAAAGTTACAACGACTGAAAAAATTGAGAGAGAGGAGGAACTAAACCAAAGTAACGATTCCGAACACAAGAACTCAAGTCTTTTGACTCAAACTGATGGATTCTGGCTCTGTCCGTTGACCAATCCATACTGTAGAAGAATATGGAGACAGAGAAAAAAAAAGAACTAAGTATAAAGCCAAATCAATCACAAGCTTAAATCAAATCACAAGCTTTTTTACCTTCTCTCTGATTCGGGACCTCCAGTTGTCAATATTGCTTGATGCAGAAGATGTCTGGTTTGCCTGCGGACCAAGAAGATTCTCCCGAGCTCTGCTCTCGAAATCATCTTCCTCGTCAAGCTCTGACTGACGTGGCGAAACCATAGCTCTCAGAACCAACGCCAGTAGCAATGACAGTAGCTGTGAAAACACCAGCTCGTGAGCAAACACAAAACAGCTCAAATGTAGAAAAGGGCAAGAAGTGAGATATTTTTTACCTGAACCGCAACCACAACAATGCCGACCCATTTGCAGATATCGATGTTTGCTTCGATGAAAGCTCGAAGGTTAGTGAGTTCTCCAGTTGGATCATACGGAAGATCCTAAAGTCAGAATATTGTAGACTGTTAAACACAACACACAAGATACAAGCTCCATAATGTAAGAAACAACACACTCACTTTTTCCCAATGACGGTCAATAGCTATGTATCCCACGAGAGCTGCTTCAAGTATGATTACAAGAGTTTTGAGAATGGAATACTAAGAAGACTTATCAAGGATCAAACAACCCAACACAAAAATAAAATTTCACAGAAGCAAATAAGTTAAAGGCCAGTTAGTATGTAAAAAGGATACGAAACACAAGCAGCAGCCACTGATAGCTTCAGCTGCTATGAAACCGATGAAAGTGACAATGCAAACCAAAATCCCAATCGCCATGAAACAGTAGATGAACCTGCATTGAATTTCATTTGAACATTCTCTCAACCATCAAAAATCATCGTCTAGCATTTAAAGCTTTGCCCTTTTTCATCTCTACTATAATGGATGTGAAGATCAGAGTCCAAAAGAGTCACCCATCAAGCCACCGTATGATCGGCTTCTCTTAATCTTACTAAACCTAAGCAAGAACTCAATCGACGCGTCAGTCAAAAAAGCCATGACAACGATCATCGTGATTCCGAGCACAAGTCCAAGAATCTTCATCGTTGCGGGCAAAGCCATGATCCCAGCTCCGATTATAGTCGTGGCGAGATTGAAAACCGCGCCGCTGAACGAAGCTCCGTTGAATTCATCGTAAGCATCTTTGTCTCCTTGACTTGTCGGCAATAACGGTGCTGCAACATCGTCGGAAGAAGAGCTGCTCCTCGTTGGAGTCGGAGTAACATCTACAACCGTCATCTTCTCCGATTCCGATTCAAATAGCAAGCTGTAAAATTTGATTAGAGAAAGATCTTATAGCCATCATAAAAAAGTCAAATGTCATACAAATCATTGAACGCGTGAAGAACGACGAACCTTAGAAGAGAATTTGACTAAAAATTTCTCAACGGTGAGCAGAGACGAACTTCGATTTCAACTGATTAGACAAGTAGGAATCAAAAACCCTAAAATTGATCGAAACCCAGTTGATTTTGATCGAAGATGGTTTAGCCCAGAAAACTGGCGCTAGAATCAGATATACAAAGAAGAATCAGCAAATTTGTAAGGGAGTGAGGAGATTAGAGAGATTTTTCTCCAAAGAAGAAGAATTTTGAGGAGAAGAAAAATTGGAGATATGAATGAAATTATAGCCTCACGATTTTGCCTCGCTGACGTTGGAAATGATACATCTGGACGAAACTATAACCTTTAGAAAATGGATTTTTTTGTTTGCTATTGCCTATTGGATATTGGGTAACGTGATTAGCCAGGATTGTAAAATTATTAAATGATCGAATTCACTGTATTACGATGGCGACTTATTTGACCTTAGGTGGTGCTGATTGGATTTTAGAGAGAATCGACGCAGCGTTTAGGATCAGTGAATCGATCGATTATACTCTATGGAAAGAAATTTTATTACATTGAGCTTCAAGAGGTAAAAGTTATGTAATTGGTTTTCAACATTTTGAAAGACAAAACAAAAAAAATAAGCTTCAATATGCTACTATGTAAAAATGAATAAATGATGGAAACAAATATATTTTATCAGTATTTAAAGAAACATATAAAAGATTCCATGAAGTTATTATTCATTGAAATCTACATACTCCATGTATACATATATAAAAAGAAAAAAATATAGTAATGAATTCCATGAAATGTAAATTCTTACAAATTAAAGGTTATGTCACGGGAAGAAGTCACAGGTGATAGAGAGTCACTCGGCGGATTTGCACAAGTAAAGGCAGTGGAGTTGCCAAACTCTGTCTATCAAAAAAATCTCGTTTACATGTTTGCAGTTTTGTGAGTCTTTTTTTTTTCATGTATACATATAGTATATGTTTTTTTTTTTTTTCATGTATACATATAGTATATGTTAAGTTTCCTTTTCCTTACTATGTATGCCGGTTTAAGACATGTATCTCGTTTGAACGATGAAGAATCACACAACAATTTGATTCCCAAAATTTTGTTTCGAAAAATGTTCAAAAACAAACCTGTGTTAAATCTAATAACTCTCTAGAATAAACATTCACACTGTACGATAATCTCATTATGTAGCATTCTTATGATCAGTCACGCGACTCATATCAGAAAGTTTAGTTGTAGTCCATGTAGAAACAGTTAAAGAAGTAATCAAAAGGGTGACACAACTCAATTCATTATTTTATTTCATTTTTTGTCGGCTATTCAATTTAGTATGTGGACAGGAAAGACTGATAGGAACTAACTCCTACTCGTGGTATATTGTAATCACTAAATATTACCAAGTTTTGGCTTTTAGTGGTAATCAAAGCGTCAAATCTTAATCAGTATGTATTAAACTACTGTAAAGTATTATTTCGATCGGATTAGTCATATGAGCCATCCTCCTCGTTCCCGTTATTTAATCGTGTATATCCAGTCATATACATATAGACAGTTAGGCAACTCAGAGTCTCAGAACCAGATATTAATAATTTCAGAAAGTTTTTAAGGTTCAGGTCTATACTTGCATTATGTATTCATCTCATATCTTAATATACATCTTTCAACGAGTTTCCACGTTCGGATTAATTTAAATCTTGCGCTCCATTATTGAAACGTATTATGAACAAAATGATTCTCAAAGGGTTGTGTTTTTCTTTATTAAATATTCCAAGAGCAAACGAAACCAACTCTCATTTATCTGAGTGAATGTAATCAGCAACGACATGTAACATCATAAGCTAAAAAAGACAAGTAAAATAAAGCGGTTAATGATTGTTGTATATATAGTCGTATACTCTTGTTCATTTATGTCGATGATCAACTTTTATTGAGTGTATTTCATACTAGGTATTCACAGGTTTCATTTTACACTATACAGTAGTTAAGTTTTGAACAAAATTAAAGAATCATGTTTTATAAGACTGAAATACCAGTTTATTCAAAAGTTGATTATATGTAACTGAAATTTCGAAATTTTATCATGCCACAACGTGAATACGGCCAAAGATTTGTTCCCCTCATAGGTCATACCGTAGTAGTCAAAGAACAGACAATTATATTATTTTACACCTAAATGGATTTTTGGTGCATGTATTTGAGTCTGATGGCCTGGTCTATATTACACACTTTGCTCTTGTATAAAATATTAAAATGTGTTATAGTCACTCATCCACGCAAATTATTAAAGAGGTACTTATGAATCTACTTACGTGTAAATTAAAAAATCATAATGAATTTTATTACTATAATAGATTATCGAAACTCGATGAATTGTTTCGGATCAGTGGTTCAATTTTTGAAAATATTTTGACACTAAAATCATATATGAATTCTTTGACTACATATACATATGATACAATATTTAGCATACGATACAATATTATCTGATGAAAACAATATTATGCAAAATTTGGTGATGCAACTAGCTGTTGAACGTGGATGGTTTCATTAAGGGTTCGGTTAAGGGTTTTGTGATGCAACTCGCTGTTGAACGTGGATGGCTTCATTCATGTCAATGCTGGACAAAGCCTTATAAAACATTGATCTTGGCTCCAATTTTTTTTGGAGTTAATTAATATTAAAAATAAGTCCTATAATTTTATTTTTTTAATAAATGGTCCCAAATTTGTAAACGTTTAACATTTGTTATCCTTTTAAAAAAAAAAAAATATATATATATATATATATATATATATATAAACCTTTTAAGATTTGAAGATGTATAAGTTATAAGTGCTCTTTCAGGGCCGATGTATGAAGGTGTATAAGTTATAAGTTATAACCCTCAGGCCTCATCCATAGACCATAGGCAATAGGCATGAAGACATGAATTTTATGTTATACAGAAATATATCGACTGAGAATAGTGTATTGGTAGTGAACTAGATTGAAGCTGATTCTATCTAAGAAGCGCTACATTATGGTAACTCTTTCCTCCTTTGTGAGATGTTCTTCACTTTCCTTCTTGAAAAAGAAAAGTGTCACACTTTCAATGATCTTCTCTATGAGAAGTAATTTGTACTTGGCTTTGAAACCGAGAATTGTCTCCTCCTTTATGGAGCGAGTATTGTTAAGCTCTGCATTGATGGCCTTGGCTCTAGTCTTGCGAGCATTTTACGACCATGTGGTCGTGGGTTTAAAGAAAGCTTCATTCAAGTCTGCCTCTGTTCAAAGTTCAGCAAGTCAAAGTCTCGTGGATTGGATTTTGATTGTTGCAGTCATAGTGCTTGGTGGTGTTGCTTCAGGCAATGAATTTAGATACTGGATGTTGTGTTCAGGAAATTCTGCCTCCTATATATCTTAAAGGAAGAATCAACCCTATGTGGTAATTCTGAATCTATCATGTTGTTATCCTTGTTCTCCTTTAGCTTTGTTGTGTTTAGTGTAATTTTAGATTCAGCTCTTTGTAGTTGGATCTCTTCCTCCTGTGTGAGGTGTAACCGAAGCTAGTTTTATAAAATCAGTTGTTGTCCAAAAAAAAAGGTAGTGAACTAGAATAAGAAGGGAAAATCAGTTTATCTCGACCGGAAAGCTTGGGTTTAACTTTGTTAATGAAGCAGATCCTTCTTAAGATTTGCAAGAAGATGCAACAGAAAGGCATAAGACAAGAATTTGGAAGATTAAAGATAGAAATGATTAAACAGTTTTTAATCCATTTTTCATACAAACTTTTGGGGATATGTCGGTGTTATTATATGACGTGGCCACAAATCGGACAATGTCGCTAGACATGTGTTGTGAGATCTTCTTGTCTTCATGGACCCCAACATGAACGTGTCAGAATCTCAGCGGAACGTTCAAAAACCCAATCATCTTCACACTCTCGTACTATATTCACTTCACACATCGAAACTTCCGGAAATCCCATAAAAATAATCAATGGCGGAGTTTCATCTTCCTTCCGAAACCGAAAACGAAACCGATCATATTCCGGCCGATGATTTAGAAGAGGACGCTACTTTCATCGACGAAGAGTATCTCAACTACCTCCATTACTTGGCTTCACGGAGCAACCATGAAGTCGAGACGTTTGGGACTTACGATGAAATCTTTGGTCGAGTGTTGGGTAATTCATCTTCCACGCGGCGGAAGGAAGCGGTGGATGAGCTTCCGGTGGTGGAACTGACGGCTGAGGAACTGATGGAGAGAGGTTTGGTGGTTTGTGCCATATGTAGAGAGGAGCTCGCTGCTACTCAGAGACTCACTGAGCTTCCTTGTCGGCATTATTACCATAAAGACTGTATCTCGAATTGGTTGACTAATCGCAACACTTGTCCTCTTTGCCGTCACAATGTTAGAAACTAAACTAGTTGTGTTTTTATTGTGTGTTCTGTCATTTCTCTAATGTTGAAGTTGATAATATTTTTATTTTCGCCTGAATATGTCACAAGAAAATTTTAGTGAATATTGTATCTATCGAAAAATTTAGTGAATAAGGATCTTCCATCATAGTTTATGTATTTATATCAGTTATCTTCAGCCCAGTCAGTCTTAATTAACATTAATTCCCACCATTAGCATGCAATTGTCAGTGAATGCCATTCACGCCTTAGCCATATCCGTACTATGATCAATTCATGTCATCTCCATAGCCATTCACACAGCAAGAAACTCTGCACACAATGTAACCCATGCAAGCAGCAAGCAATATGTTGAAAATTTCCACCTAGCCCAATCTGAGCCCAAATTTAGAAGAATATGTGTTGCAATGGTTGGATGAGTATTTCTTGTTGATGGTTGTAAATTTATTTGGGCTTTGCTAAAACTAATCTTCTGACTGTGTTCTAAGTGGACTGAAAGTGATCCATTATGTTAGATAAGAAACAGTTAAAGTACTAGTTTTTCAGCTTTGATATCTAAATACTGTACGCATGTGAGACTTTCATAAGTGCACTACAATCCGAAAAATATATGATTTATGGATGGATACTCAGGAAAGCCACAAAATACGTTGCCTCACTTTTTTCTTAATACTATAAGTCTATAACCCTCGGGGTTTATTGAATTCACACAATGGCTGGAACTAAAAAGTAAAAACCATGTTAAATTGATGCTGAAACTTCTTTTCGTCTTCTTTAACAATTCCAAAAATAATAATAATACCAATTGCGTTAGCTTTTTTGGGTGTAAGGTTGTGGATGTGCCTCCCTAGCCACCCACCCTATGTAATTTGGCATCATCCGCTCAGAATCATACTTTGAATGATTTTGTCCCCTTCACAATCATATGTTGTATACAACCCAATTCCTACAAACGAGTTTGGAATCTCCACAAAATTTTCTAAAATTTTGTTAAAGAAGCTCAAGCTTGCAACCACATTTTTTCCCCCTTATTTACAGGCGTAATGTATATTTTTTAAGAGGTTCAATTAAACTTGGGTGTATTATTTTTCCTGTTCTTTGTTAAGACCATTTTTGGGAAGATCTATAGAGAAACTGAGAAATAACGTGTGATAAAATGAAAAAGAGACGTTTTCCAAGGGAGATAAATAGTAGAAAACGACAAGATGTGAAGAGTGTGTCTATTCTTGAGGGTGCAAGATCTAAGAGCATATATTATCTTTAACTATAACATTGTTTTATGTCATATAGACTCAAGATTACGATGTTACTTTCATACATATTTCAATCCAATCCAAGCTTTTTATGTCTTGGATTTTTAGAACTTCAAATCTTTGGAAAAGAAATAGTTAGTTCCCTCTCTTGTTATTCAACTATTGATCTCATATCAGTTCTGATATGTTTATTATCTCTTCTCAGCAGACCTTGCATAAGGTAGAAAATCCGCGCATCTAGATTACACACTTTTTACTAGGCCAACAAAGCATACTTCATTTTGGGGAGTAGACCTCGTTTTTGTGCGTATGCATACTAGATTGTATGTATAGGAGAAACATCGTTTCGTCTAGTATACACAATTTTAACACTGATAACATATATTTAGATTTAGTGTCATACAGAAGAAACATTTTCGATACGTAAGAGGTTTTTTTTTTGTCTGAACTAGCAGCACATGCACCGATGAAAAAACAAATTCTGTAATCTCAAAATTTACTTAAATTACCGCATCCTGACCTAAAGTAGCATACACTCTTTTTAGTTTTTATTTTATTTTATAAATGGCTCAGTGCTCATATAATGTATTTTGTAATATTAATGTTCTCATCAAAGTGCTAGAAGCAATTAATGTTAAAATTCAGTTTCGTAACTAGTAAAAGAATTGCTGTATAATATGTTCTCTTTTTTTTTGTGACACATTTTAGTCTATTTTATCTTTTCAAATTATTTGTCGTTTTGAAAAAATGTATCCGCAATTATTTGGATATACTAAACTCAAAACATATACATATACATCCAAATAATTGCAAATACATTTTTCCAAAACTACAACTAATTTGAAACGGAGAGAGTAATATTATATAGGGAAAAAAATAGTTTTAAGTTAACTCAACTAAATGGAAGCAATGGGGGTAAATTAAATAGAAATCACAGCAATCGGAATGTTCAGTAGTCAGTAGATACGGATAAAGCGTAAAAATAGATATGGTGTCCAGTCCTACGTACACTGTATTGGTCCGACCAGTCAGAATAATCCAACCAATCGTTATCCAACACAAGTTATATCACACGTGTCGATATCTGATTATATAGGTGATATTTACTTATGAAATCGTTGATTTAGCTTGGACCCATTGTCATCGCATGATTCCATAATTAGGCAATGAAAATTGAGTTTATCAGTTCTCAATCTTTCCAAAGTGAGAATCTCAAACACCATGACCAACTTAATGTTGAGTTCAAATTTGTATACTTATGTGTGTTCCTATATGCCCAGACACGTTCTACAGATAATTCATTTATTAATAAAACAAATAGTATAATATAAATAGCTACAAAAAAAAAACAATAATTTAATTTTACCTTATGGTTGAAAAATTATTGAAAATAAAACAATTTTTTTGGTACAACATGATTTAGGAAAATATTAAAGATTCCTTTGGCTGTTTTCTTAGTGCTACATTTGTTATTGGAAGACAAGTTAAATCGAAGTACTCTTTCCGTGCAAGAACCAGAGCCGTCATTTTAGGGGTGTGTTCTTTGTCGTCATGTTAATGTTCCCAAATTATCCTTACCTTTTGCGTATGTACTGTTTTGACATTCGAGGGCATTTTAGAGTTAATTGATTCAAATAAAAGTATCATACACCATTTACCATAGCTCTGTGCCTCTGTGAGGGTTGCAAGCAAAAACAATACATAAAAACAAAAGCCAAATTACCGAAAAAACTAGACTACAATAATTTTAGACGAGACCTCGTCTATTATTACGCACATTCCACTCTTTTGTGGCTTATAAAACGGTTTACTTGTAAGTTTGGGAATTAATCTAAGATTTCACTCATATTGCAATTCGAGCATAAAAATGATCTTTAAAACTGGGTTTTGATCTTTCTCAATTACAAGTGGAGAGAAGATAAAATATACTAGTAAAAAGCTCTAAGAAAAGTATAAAGCTTTAGACTATGTATGTGTATAAAGCTCTAAGAAAAGTAGATTAAGACAAACATAACCGATACTAGGTATTCAACTGTTCATGGTTCCCTACACAATTGTGCATTTATGTGTAAACACTGTTATATACTACACATCTTTATTATATGATTTGGTCACATCATATTCTTAAATTTAATTTGTAATAATTGTCTTTAAAATTGGAAAACAAACTAAACTACTAAAGGATTAGAGCTTAGGAAAAACACAAAGAGAGCGAACTCAAGACAAAGAAAAGGAGCAAACTCAAGACATTACAGAAATGAAAGAAGAGTCTCGCCTCGACTCATGATATCTCTGACCATTCAGTCCACTCAAACCTAAAGAGAGACCATAAGGCGCATCTGAAACTAAATTTAGTCAAAAAGTAAACGTTCCGATGTCGAGATTTAAACTGTTTACAATCATATATACGCAGACATATAATATACATATCATGATTTGATTTTGTCATTATCTTTATACGGTGCGTATATTGCGATAGAAAGGTTCTCGTACGTCAACATTTATCTTTATCCACACCATGGTAGACAGTACAACACGTAATTTAACTAAGAATAAATGATTAATGGTAATCTTGTTTTACAGCCACAACTATATATTATCGTAAAGTCTTGGCCTATCTAATTATTTTAACAGTCTTTTATTCTAGCTTTTTCTAGTATATATCTATATATTTATATATGAAAACATAAAATAATAGTTTCCCACCAGCAAAAGATGAGTCAACTTGTTTTATTCTCCTCAGAGATTTACTTTGCAACAAACGTCAGCTTTATATTATTATTTTTATTAATTATAAAAATCGGGATATTACAATCAATGTTATCTATTGTTTCCTTATTTTTGTAAAGTCTTTAGCTGCTACTATTTGCACCCAAAAAAAAAAGTCTTTAGCTGCTACTAGAAATATCATCAAAAGATAAAAAAAAAAATTATACTTATGCTGGATTTTCTTATGTAAACAAATATATCATAACTGTTTTCTGATACTAAATTATCTTCTTTAAATATAATAGAAAATGTTCAACAATTCATATTCGATGAAGCAGGAAAGTTCTTGCCGAATTAAACTCGGAAAATACATAATCATAAAGTTTGGGTGCTCTTTCTTAGTTACTTGCGTGTTTAAAGTGTTTTTCCCCCCGTTACAAAGTACTAAAGTTTTAAGGACAAGTATAATACTATTTAATTTAAAAAATGAATAGAGAAAAATAAAAAATTTGCAATGCGTAGAAAAGACAGGTTTCTTTGTTGAATTGGATCATCTCACATCAGCACCACTAGATGCTTTGATATTTCGTATTTTATTTAATATGTTTAAGATATATATGTTAAATGAAATAATAATGCAATATCTTCTTCTTGCTGATGTCATAAGAAAAAGCAATTCATTTAAAAAATTATTATCCACTACTCCCCCATGCACCTGCTTATATATCTGTTTATATAAAAACATTTGTGGAGATGATCGATGATACTAAATAATACTGTAGTAGCTACATAAACATGTTCATAATAGGCAAAATATTGCGGCTGAGATGCCTCGGATACCTTTGCTTTATGCAATGTGGGTGACATAGTGGTCGAATAACAACAGTTAACATACAAACTTTTTGTTAGCAAGATATATGTATATTATAAGAAATGTATCTAACACACCCCCAGACGAGCACGCACATATGATTTCCAGAGAAACCCTGAAAATACCATGATTCAAGAACCTTTCAAATGTCCTGCCTTTTCTAATCTCCTACACAAATTTTACTACTTCCTTCATTCTACGTTGTTTAAATGTTAGCGGATACTGTTTGGCTCGTACTATTAGAAGTAAAAAAAACAGGAATTTTTCTTTCGTAAACCCTATTTATCTCGACTTTGGCCTTCTTAATTGGGTGGTTGCGGGAAAAAAATTATATGGATAAAAAATTACTATAATTAGTATGTCTGATATTATTTGTTTCCATTTTATCATTAGATAAGAAAATGCATCTTAAAACTCCTGAATCCTGATACCATGCAATAAATCAAAGGTATTATTGTTCAACATATGGTTGGGTGAAAGATATTATAAATTTTTATGTAAAGCTTTATGCCCTTTGTACGCCCATTTCCCTCCCGTGTGGCGGTGTGGAGGCTTTTCTTGACTGAAAAAGAGAAAACAGATTTTGTCAATAATATTCATAAACTTTATCGACACCCATTTTATTACATTATATATTAACTGTTTTTAAAAACCAGATAACTCTCCTACATATAAAAAAAATGTAGAACTCGACCCGAGTTTGTAACATACATTTAATCAACTGGTCGAAAGGTTATCAGTGTCTGATATGATTTACCTTAATCACGACAATTATGGATACAAGAAACGAGTATATACATTAACGTGACATGATTTAGGTGCATATTTACTAATTTCTTATGTTAGAAACTTTGTTATTGCTTCACCCAATTGCAGAAAGTGGGCTCCACTCCCAAAACTCTCCTCTCACTTACTCTATAAAACCATATCCTCTCTTCACACACCAAAAACCGGCATCAGAACTCTCAAAGCTTTCTTCTCTTCACCTGCCTTTCTTCTCTTGAAGCAATATAAAAAACCCTAACTTTATGCGCAAGTCAACGCCAAAATGCAGCCGCACACAGACGTTTTCAGCATCCATAACTACCTAAACTCCTCGATCCCATCTCCATATCCTTCCCATTTCCCGATATCCTCGCCATTCCCAGTCAACAGTCAAAACTCGAATCCATTTTACGGATTCCAAACCGCTACAAGCACTCCACAGTCCATGAGCCTAAGCAGCAACAACTCGACATCAGACGAAGCAGAAGAGCAGCAAACGAACAAGAACATAATCAACGAGCGGAAGCAGAGAAGGATGATATCAAACAGAGAATCCGCAAGGAGATCACGTATGAGGAAGCAGAGGCACCTTGACGAGCTTTGGTCACAGGTGATGTGGTTGAGGATCGAGAATCATCAGTTGCTTGATAAGCTTAACAATCTCTCAGAGTCTCACGAGAAGGTTCTTCAAGAGAATTCTCAGCTTAAAGAGGAAACATCTGAGCTTAAGCAAGTGATCACTGATATGCAAATTCAAAGCCCTTTCTCTTGCTTCAGAGATGATATAATCCCCATTGAATAGAGCATTTTTACCCAATGTACCGCGTTTCATATATATATATATGGAGTTTTTGAATCGGTCTAGTGTGTATTTATTTATGAATATCCGGAGATTTCTTTTTGGTTTACCAATGAGTCCGGGTCTTAGTCCTCAGGTCAGGTCGGGACCAGAGCAAGTTAATTAGTCTCTTTCCCCATGATGATCCTTTCTTATGGGAAAGACGACGACGTTTTAGGATGCATTAAACTTATAAACTAAAGAAGGTTAATGTTAATGAACAACAAATATAAGTGGTGTTGGTCAAATCATGAGTCATGTTGGTGATGGGGACAGACAGAGTAAGGTGGTGTGGGTTTTGTTTCTTATTACAACAATTTCCAAATTTCCAACTACAAACCAACACATACACTCACATATGTTAACATATAGTAACTATATGTATGCTGACCTCATTAATTTTAAGTGTAATGTTATCATCTTTTGGACAAAGAAAACAAGAAAACAGAGGATAGTTTGTGGATCCATGATGATTTCTTTTGTGAAACTTTCTAAAATTGATTATATTAGGCAAAGACCAAGGACAAGCTTATCTGTAACTGTGAGTCTCTACTCTCTAGCTAGGCCCACACAAAGAACAGTATCTGTAGTGGTGCATCGACTTAAGAAAAAAAAAACATTTAAACTTTATGAAAAGATATCAGTCATTTAGATTTAGATTTTTATTTTCTGGGTGCCGATAATCTGAATTTTTCCAAATTGCGTTCAGGACATAGAAAATGCAACTTAACATTTTAGATGGTTTAATCATTTAAGTGATGCTATATGTTTTTGTGGTACCATTTTAGTATTTCCTATTTTATTACAGAGGATTGCTGGAAAAAATAATTAAAGCAATTGAAAATTTTATTCATATACAACTTGTTGATTTAATTTCAAATAGCGTATTGCTTAGTAAAGTTTTTTTTATAATATCTTTTTGCCAAAAAAAAGGAAAGATAAAACACATACCTGAGCCTGAGTAGTGAAATTTCAAAAAAAAACTAAAAACTAAAAAATAGGATGTAACAACATGGCTTAAACAAAAATTTAAACGTTGCTACATGCTGTTGGTACCCTGGATTCACTCTGTTCAGTTCAGGTATACACTTCTAACCTAAACATGTATAACACAATAGTGTACATAAAAATCTACAAGAGACGGCTACAAAATCAAGAAGAATCGATTATCTTATATGACAAAGCAAATCCAAACCTATCGTGCCCTCTCTGATATCTTTCTTTGACACAGACAGAGAGACAAAGAAACAATCTTACGTACGAGATCCTCTTAAGAAATGTGGTCAACAAAACAAACGAACTTTTTTTTTTAGATTCCTTGCCAAAACCTTACTAGCCAAGAAACCTCAGCTCTAATCACATAAAACATCCTTTAAATATTTCTTTTACAAAATTCAATCAATCTCTCACCTTTTTTTGTTTTCTCTTCGTGTGATCGAGCACACAGAACGTAATGTAAGTGGAAGACTAAAAGAGACTATAAAGAAAGATATAGTCACCTTTAACTTCTTCTTTTTCTTTGTTGTCATTCATGAAGACGTATATATCTTATGGTCATATTCTTTAAACCAAAGTAAATCTCCATCTTTCACGTTATAGTCTACTCGAATCTGAGGCCAAAAACACAGAAACGTTTCGAGATTACTTTCAACGTTTCCCTTAGAGAAGGATAACTATTCGAAAAGTAAATCACCCAACAAAGTTGGAAGAAAACTACTAATTACTTTTGTTACTTGCCGTCGCTGATCATTGTCGCAAGTCAATGTGAAAATCTTTGCCTCCGTAAACTGCACACAGTCGATTAATGAAGCTGAACACAAATCATATTATTATTTTTGGGCAAGTCACAACATCACTTTGGTCCCAAAATATCTTAGAATCTATGGTTCTTTTTCATCTTCCAACAACAGTGGAGTTTCTTTTCACGCTTTTAATTTGTTTTTTCTTTCACTTTGCGTAATGTCTTAAGAATCATCTCAATCTTTGTCTGTATCTTTCTATAAATGTGTGTGTACAAAGTACCAGTGTATCTGAGACCAGAAGATATAGGTTGCTTTCTTTCTCCTTTTTTCGTTTCGTACGACAATTGGTTTTTCTTTCTTTGGAAATATTTTTACTTTAAACGAGAAGGCTTTTATATTTTTGGTTTTCGGTCATAACTCATAAGTGTGAATCTTAAAGACTACTTTATGACCCATTTTCGAACGGTAAATTCGATTATACATGTAGAAAAATAAGTAATCTCCTTCTCTTTTTTTTTTCTTTGGTTCTTTTCTGTGTAGCTATCTCTTTCTAAACCAATTTACCAAAGAATCATTAGCCAATCGAGAACGATAATGTTCGAAAAATGTTATTTTTCATTTGTAAGATAAAATGATTTAAAAAAAAAACAAAAAGGATTAAATGACAAATTTATGAAATATTATTTGATGGAATGATGTGGTGGTATTTTGAAAGAAAAAGTCCAAGAAAATGTATTCGTAACTATTTCGAAACACAACTGCACTCTTAGGTTATTGAATCATTATATGTTATGCAAGCTTTAAAGTTTTGCTGATTTTTAGTAACCTACGGGCTAAGGCAAATGAGTTATCATAGTTTTCTTTAAAACAAAAATTTGTGGCAGCTTTTTTTAATATAAAGAATTTGTGAAAGCTTTATTGACAAAGTACATAGGATATCATTTGTCTTTTTACAACAGAAAAGAATTGGACTCCAAACAAATGATAAAAAAAAAATTGAAAGTTATGATTAAACATGAATTATAGGAGAATCCCGGTAGATTGTGCCCAACTTTTTTGCAAAACCAGAGTTCGATTCTTAAACTTAGTTGAATTTACTAATATGAAGCTCGCTAACCATCCAGTAAATAAATAGACCAGCGAAAGTAAGATAGAAAACTTTATTTGCTTTCTCACTACGGTGCAGTCACAGCCTCACAGGGAGATATCCAAACCAGTAAATAAAGAAGCATCTTTCAGGGGTTCCACAGAAGGCCCATGTGCTTAGTTTTTCCAAACCTTTCCGGTTTTTATTTCTTTCTTAAGATCTCAAACGAACTAGGCCCATAAGAACTTCCTTGGAAAACTGTTGGAACATTAGTTGTGTGTACTTTGTACCCATAATGATTTCTTGATCTTCAGTTCCACACTTGTGGTTAAATTCTGATTAGTGATTCCATCCAAACATATTTACGGTTTGCTAACATAATTATCTAAAGTAAATGGTGTTATCATTACTCCTATTGTGTTTAACATGATGTAGTTTCACTTTTCCCAAAATATATGGAGGAAGAAAGCCTAAACAGGAGTGGTTACATTGCATACGGGATAGAGGTACTGGTATATACTTCACTGGATACTCACAAAAATTATTTAAGATTTTCTTTACTAGCAAAAAATGTTAATTGCTACTTGTATACACCATTAAGTACTTGTGCTACATGTTAGATAAAAGAAATATTCCGATTTTGGGTGTGAGTAGATATATGCTTAACCCAAAAAATGGTGAAATTTCAAACAAAAATGAATTATTTTTGTGTGGAAGAGTTCCCATGTTGCTGTCATGTGTATGCGGTGGATCCATTTCCCTCTTTACAGCCAAAACAAACAAACCAACAAAACAAATTCATCATAAAATTTTAAGACAATTCGATCAAATACACATAGAAAGCCACAATATGACCAATAATGGAGAAGGTGTCTCGAAGGACACGTTTCATCACACATGCCTCTCGATACCTGTTTGCATTTACACCACTTTGTTCATGACAGCATTTTTATACTACATTTTTTTAATTACGCAAAATTCCAAGCGAAAAATTCTGTTGAACTTGAACTTTTTTTTTTTTTTTTAATTGGTAAAGAGTTCATGTATAGAATCTGTTTGAAATGTTTACATTTAAATATGGGATTCATCTTATCCTTCCATTTTTCCTTGAAGATCTACGCCCATGAAGAGAACATGTGTCGTAAAAAACTACCGTACGTCCAACGTATCTTATATATAGTTTTAATGTAAATATAGTTATTGTATGTACCAGCAATCCCCGAAACACGCATGTAGCGAAGAAGATAAATTCTTAAAAGGTTAAAAGATATAATAATCAAGAACGGCGTAAGAGAATACACATATCAATCTTCATGATGAAAAACAATAAAACAATAAAGTAACCAAACACCCTTCATATCAATCTTCATGATGAAAAACAATAAAACAATAAAAGAAACCAAACACCCTTTGCTTGAGGCATAAAAAAACCCCAACACAAAAAAAACAAATTAATAAACCAATCCCAAGATATACAAATAACTTCAAGAAAAAAGAAAATTACTTCTTTTTATAAGACCTACTCTTGTTTTCACCCTTTTTCTTCTCTTTTGTCCTACATTTATGATTACCACTATTCTTATCATCATGTTGATGATCATAGACATCATTACTCTTACTATTACTTTCACTTTTCCCGTTCCTTAAAACGAGACCTTCTCTTCGTCTCCCTCTATTACTCGTTTGGTGATAACTTGGCCCGGAAGAAGCATCGGAAGCCATCGAATCGTCGCTGTCTTTGTTGTTTTCGTATTCGTTTGCATATTTTCTACTATCTTTTTCGATGCTATGCACTTCATAATAGACCTCATCGATTACCTGTTCCTCCTCTTCCTCCATAGGGGAAGAAATATACGTGGTCCAACCGGATTCGCTGCTGCTGCATTCTTCTCTCTCCATGGAAAACTTCAAGAACCCTAATGTTTAGTGTAAGAGAGAGAGGGTTGTAATTGTTTTGTTTAGTCGTAGTGTTTTGCTTGTGTAGTGGACCATATATATATACAAATATGAAACTGCATGTGCGTGGAAGAAGACCCGTGTATTTTCATTAGTTTAATGTGCTAAGGACAGCTTATGTCTAATGTATAAAGTTATATCCGACATAATTCGAAGAAGAATAGCTGTTTTTTATGAAAAGGGTTTGTCGTATATAAATTAAAGATTTATGTGTAGTCTTAGTCTTCTCTCAATAGTGTGAGCATGTTGAATAATAAATGCTGATTAATATTATTACTTAATGTGTTTCGGTTAGAGAGAGCGAAGTGGTTTATATATGTTCACATTGTGGCATGAGGGGAGTGTATCTTTACACTAAGAATCCTCTGTAACGAAACCAAACACACGCATCTTTGTGGAGATTGGATGTTTTATTCATATCAAGCCATGTTAGAGAACATGTTAGGATCATGCCTCTTTTTCATTATCTCATCAGATTCGTATTGTAACCAATTATAGACGAATTTGCAATTAATATTAATTATTTTCTATCATATAGGCTCTTCACTGTATTAGTGGAACAAAATGTATGATGTTGAGAAAACTGAGTGAAATATAGAAATCAAACCGTTTTGGAAAATTTCAGATCGAACAAAAGGTAGACGTATTTTTTTCAAATGCACACATTAGTCATCAAATATTTATAGACTATGTATTATCTAATGAAACGAACAGACTCGTTATCTCCAAGAGCAAGGCTCAAACTCAATGAGCACATATCAGTCAAACAAGATATATTTTTATATAACATCAATTTATTTAGAAAGTAATAAATTGTTAAGGTGCATACCCGATAATTTGCTAAGCCCTACAAATTATTTAGAGATGGCCCATGGGCCTATCCGTGCTGAGCTGGAAACTATCAAATTTTGGAACATTGCAGCATAAGGAATTTCACAAGATTAAGAATTGCTCACTAGAGATGCAAGTTAGGCACTAATCTAATGAATGATGAGGATAGAAGGACACAACTTAGAAGACGTGGCACATTCGTAATGAGCAATTATATGATGACATGATGAAAAGATGTGATGTCTCGAAAACATATGAGATGATAATCAACAAAATCATTCCATGGATCAGCGCCATTGGTTAATTAGATGATAGTGGGATAGAAAGTTAAAATCCATTTTCGTTCTCTATGTGGAAATAAGAAACCTAATCAACACATTGGCTGACCAACAACAAAAAAGAAAAACCTAATCAGCACATTTATTTTATGTTTACGTGATTTCTTCACATGTGATGATGCGAAGATGGAATTTGTGAGTCTTTGCATTAACTCTCCCACTAATTTAATCCTACTTGCAATCAAACCCAAGTGGAGGAGCTATTTAAATTTGCCCAAATAGTAAAAAGGTGAAGTGCACTTCTATATCACCTTTAAATTTTAATTGGTGGTAGACAATGTGAACTTTTGTAGTCGTCATTACTTACTATTTTGTCTTATAATAATAAAATGGATGTTTCATGGATTGGTTTGCTCATTCTCGACTACTTGAAGTTGACGGAAGTTGACTAGTTTCGATAATTTCAATTTTTGTCAAATTTCTATTGGACATGAAAATTTTACTTTAGTTGTGTGTTATATATTTGTCGGCTTGGCCTTTCAAATCGAACTTAAAAATGTGTCCCCGTGTTCCTCTGAATCTCGTGCGTTCTGTATTTTAAATAAATAACCTCTAACAACATGAAAATAAAGGAACCAAAATGTAGCATAAAATTCACTCTAATATAGATGGCTCTATATTTTTCATCAAAAAACATTAGTAGCACACACTAACCATTACACGACCAAAAGAAACTGCACTTAGGATTATACTATTAGTTCGCTCTATTAAAATTTGCTGTAAAATCAGGGACTTAATGACACTTTGTTACAAAAAAAAGAAATGTTACATTCTTTTATAATCTGAGATTACCATGATTTATCCAAAAAAAAGATTCCAGTCGTCATGGTGAATAAGCCTATCGGCTTTTCTAGCTGCTTTCGTATTAATATTAACAAAATTTTGTTGACAAGGAAAAAAAATTGGATAATAAAACTTTGCATGTCTTTCAATGTACAGGAATCTGAAAAATGTGTAAGACGAATTGAAGTTACTGGGATGATGACATTTACATGACATATGAACAGTAGAAAGTGATGATATAATAGTAAACAAAAGAGAAAAGGAATATCAGAACGCACAAGGAATCTTCTTCCTTCATTTTAAACTCTAAAAAATAAAACAATCTCGTAGTGATCAAATGCACACCAGTTATTAATTAAATAAATTAAGAAATAGTGATTTCGTACAATTTTCCACTATAAATTCTACAATACCCAACACAAACTTTCATAGTAGAACATGCAGCATAAGTAGAAAAAAAAGAGAGTAATAACTAAGAAAGAAAAACAAAAATGAGGGCGATACCAAAAGTAGAAATTTGGAAGTCACCAGTACCATATCTCTTTGGTGGTCTCTCTTTGCTTCTTTTGCTTATAGCTTTGGCATTACTCTCATTGTTGTGCACAAACCGGAAATCTCCTTCTGACAATGACAATCCCATCGACGAAGAAGAGAACGGCGCCGGTGATAAGGAACCTAAGACTATTGTGGAAGAGTGTTTACCTAAGATCGTCGTGATTTTGGCCGGAGACGATAAACCTACTTGCTTGGCCGTTCCGGTGATTCTTCCGCCGTCTTCTATCTATCGTTGTAACTGCGGCAATGTTACTGTCGCTTCAACCTAACCATAACATCCTTTTCTTCTTTTGCCGACAAAAGGAAAAGAGGTTTCAAGTTTTGTAATAATCATCGGCAATTTTGTATCAGTCGACAGTTTTTTTTGGTTGGTGTTAGTATATATCATCTATCAATTGTTAAGTTTAATCATCTATCAAGTATATTCGGAGCAGCTTATGAAGTACATCTCTCTCTTATAATACAATGTTTAGCTTTAATATATAAAGTATTATTATGCCATGCAAATTCGATTAAAAATGTATAGACCTTTCACCTTTGCGTGCTAACTTAGATGATCATACTTTGGGTTCGGAAATTGCAAAGAAATTATAATGAACACGATGTCAGTTTTCTTTGGTGATTGTTTCTTTTAGTCCTCGTACATATTCATCAACAATTAATACTGTTATAGAAATTGATACACTTTTAAACAATAACACTACCGGCAAAAAAAAATTATCATCAACAAAGGGGTTAAACCCGGAGTAGTAAATACCAATAGTAATGATAAATAGGCATGCTATGAATTTTGATGTCGCATTAGCTTTTTATAAAACTATGAGAAAAGACAAATGATGCATTTGAATATTTGATAACATTCATATTGATTGGCGGCTATTGGTGGACGCCGCGGCTTGAAAACGCAAAGAATTGGACGGTCCAAAGTGGAATTTGCTACTTTTTCACTGTGTGGCTCTCAAGTGCCATTCTTTTATGTTTCCACTTTATTTTATTTTATTATTTTTGTTAAAGACGTGCACTTTAATTATGCTGCTTATGCATATATGTTTCTATATTTAATTACGTATTATTGTTGGTATTATCGCTATGTAAACCGGCCATTCGAATACTTTGTTATATCAGAGACTCCAAATCTTTGTTTGGTCTACTTTCATACAGGATCAGTTCTGGTTAAGAGAGTGAAAAACCATACATATATTATAGCAAAAACATAAACTACATACCAAAAGAATTCATGGTAATTCATAATGAACTCAACTATATATAATTCCTTGAGCAAAGTGCACTCAAATAATGAAATGAATCAAATGCATTCATAGCTATTTAAGTTTAGTCGAGGAAACGCTTCTTGAGAGTTGAGAGATCAAAACCTACATACCAAGATTTATAAACCAATCTAGAAGAAGACCGGTGGAAACGAAATCAGTAAATCACAAAGCAGATTCTCCATTAGTAGAAATATAAACAAATTAAAGACATGGCAGGAACAACATATGGACAAGGTTCTTTCTATCTTACCGTTTCCAATGAGTCATATAACTTAGTCAATAATCAAGATAGCTCAATAAATTTTCTATTTTGAACAGAATCCGCAAACTCTAAACCTAGTTTCTTTGACAAATAATAAGAGGACAGGAAAGGGAGAAAAATCATCTTGAAAGCAAGATATGGAGTTGGTTACCAGTAACCACCAAGATTGCTGATGGTGTGTGGGCTCAAGTTGGGCTCGAATAAACTATCTCAAGTTTTAGTTAGGCCTTTTATTATTTTGTATTTAATATATGGTTTCATTCAGAAACAGTATCGAATTGTGATGAATTTTGTTGTTTTTTTTTCTTTTTTTTTGTGAATTTTGTTGTTGAACTGTGATGAATTAAACTCTATTTCCTCTCTCATTCTTCTCTCCCTGTTCGCTGTAACTATATCATCAGATTTTCTTCCTTTAAAATCCGAGTTCACTATCAGGAGGCAACTCTAGATTTTGGATCCTCGAAATTTCTTCAGTTACATGGTACTCCAACAAAGTTGAACAGTGGAGTATATAAGTATATAACATTTCTCAAGGCAAAGAAATGACCGAACCAAGTTTAAATAAAAAGGTGACTCCATTATTATTGATAAAGGAAGGATGAATATACAGTGGTGAATGATACATTTAAATTTATATAATATTTTGTCCGTTACGACAAAAGCCACATGAAATTTTTTTACCTACTCCATTTCTTATATTATAAATTTTGTTGTTCTTAATCTACATTTCCGATTTCATTAGTGGCTCCATACATAAAGGACAATTTAAACTCCTCTCTTTACGAAATCCCTGCGAGCAATCTCCTCTTGACTTCCATCCTGCAATAAACCAATTTCATCAAATATTGTTCAACTAAATTCAAAATCGACGTTAACCGGACTATGTGACTAAAAAAAACAACTAAACCGGGGAGTGAACTACCTCATGAGTTGACGATCATTGGCTCCGCTGGCCATCATTCCCCGATTCTCGTAAGCACGTCGGAGAAGATACGGTATAGCGGTTTCAACCGGTCCAAATGGCATGTACTTGCTAACATTGAACCCGGCTCTCTTTAAACCGAAGGACAATGCATCTGACATACCGTATAGCTGCGCAAACTCTATCTTCCCGTTCTGTCTACTGATCCCGAGCTCACTTGCCTTCCTCGACGCAAGTCTCCCCGAATCAGCGTTATGCGTTGCAAGAACGACGCCAAAACCTGACCCGTTCGAAGCTTTCTCCATAAGGAAGGTCATGCAGTCGTTGTAGCAAGCGTGCGTGTCCTCGATCGTGTCATGGACCGGTGACTTGCAACCCAAGGAATCTGCCAAACTAGCTTCGCTAGACATATAAGCCCCTCTCACAAGCTTAAACCCCATAGGAACATTCTCTTTCTCGGCTTCTCGTACAGCCAAATGCAATCTCTCGCCCGCGTCTCTCAAGTAGGCCTGAATCGTGTTGTAAACGATCGGTCGATCTTTGTCCCCATTGAACAAAATGGCCGATGAGTAAGCCATGTAATCGATCGCGGGTTGGAGGATTGTGTCTTCTGCGTCGATAAGCAAAGGGACGTTGGACTCTTGGCATTTCCGACAGATTTCTTGGATCCTTTTGTGGGCTGCTTCGAGCTCCTGTTCTTCTTCGGCGGTTAACGGTTCCGGTTCTGAGTTTGTGTGGTAGAGAGGGCTCGAATCGGAGAAAACCGGAAACGATTTGAGCTTCCACGAGAGTTTGAAATTCGGACTCTTGTATTCCCACCGAAGCAAATCGCTCACTCGTTTCAGGAGACTAATCGGACAAATCGCGGTTATCTTCACGACCACGGAGCTAAGCTGTTAGGACAAAGAGAGAGAAAAAAGGGTTAATATAAAACCAAAAATAGAAGATAAACCGGAAAAAGCTGGGCCTTCACAACAATAAACCGGGATTTTAGTAAAGCGAGAGAATATTCCTAAAGTGCAAGTTACTAGTCTTCTTCCTGAAAGTTCTAGTCCACCTACAAGGTCAGATTTTCCAACTAGGACCTCGTGCGTTTTGAATCTAATCCGATAGTGACGTCTTCGCTTTGATTTATTTCACCTCATTAAATAAAATTCAAGATCTATTTGAAACAAAAAAATATTTAGACTCAAAGTCATTTTCATAGGAGAAAAATAGCAAGTTGGTTGTGTGTGTGGACTTATTTACTCAACAAAATGTTTAAAAACGCGTAAGAGTAATTTATAGCTTAATTATTAATTAATTCCTATGTGAAAAAGATAGATTCATATGTATCTATGCAAGTGTACTTTGTCAGGGTACGGAGATTTGGCAAGTTGCCCATATTTGTTAATTACGTCTCCATTAATAAATGGTTCGTTTTTAAGAAAAGGGTTATGAAATAATTAAATTCAAGATCGGAATTACAGATTTTCCTTTTTGTCTGTTCTGGTTCGAATTTTAAAAATGTTTTTTTAATTCGTGTTTGTAAAATAATTTTGTCGAAAAAAAAAACGAAAAGCAGAGCAAAGAAGTAAAACAGAGGAAAAATGTTAAAAACAAAACAGAGGAATTTGGAATTTAGATGGGCTTACGTGAGATGTTGGTAAGGATTTGGCAGCTTCAACGGTGCGCATGAAATGGTGCATGTTGTCATCACAAGAGGCAGCGTCATCGGCGTGTTCAACGCCGTACACAAGCATACCTTTGAGACCCGTAGCCTCGTATACGCTCCTGATGCGTTCTGCGGCGGCGGCTGCGTCTTCACCGGCACAGAAGTGGTCGTAAAACGTACTTTTCACAAGGCCAAGGACCATGCCACGTGTCACGGCGGTGTCCATGAGTTTGGAGCTCATGACCCACGTTCCCAGATCCACCATCGGACCTATCGCCGCAGCATGAAGCACGGCGGTGGAACGGATGAGATCGGAGGTGGGGACAGAGGAGAAGAGACGGGCTTGATCGGAGAGATCGATGTCATTGTGAGCTACGTTGGGTTTCGGGTGGTGGAGAGGTGGTTCGGGTGCTTGTTGTTGCTGTCCAAAGGAGAGAATCTCCGGGACGACGGCTGTTGAAGCGGTTACGGTGGGGGGTCCCACCGGACTTAAGGCGGAGAAACGGTACGGACGCCGGATAAAGTTTGTTCGGAGGAGACGGGTTGCCATAAAATTCAAAGATTTTCCCTGTGAAACAAAAAAAGAAATTATTTTTCTATCTCTTTTGATGTTTCTTAGGCTTTTCGGATTTATCGCTCTTCTCCTCCTCTTCTTTGTTTTTTTCTCTACGCTTTGTTCTGTGATTTTTCTCCTCCGTTGTTACTGCCACATATATATATATATATATATAGAGGAACATAAAACGATATGCTTATACATACATACACGCCTTACGTGTTTGGTATATATAGATGCCAATGTGTACAACTCTTAATCGGATCGAGATAAAAATTAATCATCTAAAATTGCAACGCAATCTTTATAAAGAAAGTCAAAATTCTCAAGTTATTTCTTACGAAAAATTACAAGATTTACTTTCATTTCAATTCAAAAATACTTAATGTTAAAATATACCATAATCTTGAAATTTCACTGCATCTATATGGTATGGTATCGTAATGGGTCGTCTTCACAAAATAATTGAAAATTTTAAAGCTTTTCCTATACAGGTTTGAAGATTCTTAGTTGTAATTATACAATTCCTTCTATATCATGGTAAGGTTTATTGGGAAATCTGTAAATACTATAGTAATGTTTGATCCTGTATTCCGTGTTACTAGTGAGTTCTTCGTAAAGGTCTTGATTGACAATTTGACATCATAACATTCCCAAGAGCTAGTTAATACTACAAGTAACTACTCCCTTTGTTGTAGTAGTGTATAGTTTCTGACTTCCTGTACCTAAAAGAGTAAAAGAGGAACGGAATCCAAAATTAAATTGAATTACAATTATAAATTCTAGAGGACGTTATTGATTTTAGTCCACAAAAATTAGCTGTTTTAAAAATATTTTTTTCTCGTGAAAGAAAAAGGTAAGGGGAAGATTCCGCCGTAATTTTCTGAGAAAACAAAGTAATAACTACGGACGTCAGAGACAGCAAGGTCCTGACTATAGAATGAGTCATCGGATAACTATTTAATTGACATAATAATGATAAAATTGATTATTTTAAGTTTTTTAAAAAATTCTAAATTAAAGGATTTGTTTCTGGCGAGGCGGTGGAGGAAGATATGAAGGATGAGTGGATGTTGAATAGGATACAACATGAGGACCTATAGACTTGTTCTTTGAATCTTTGACAGTTTGACTTTTCTAAATTGGAATCTCCGGAATCTTTATGATCACTAATTTGAATTAATCAGCAAAGATTCCCTGCTAATAAAAGTAAAATAGGTGTTTAAAAATAGATTTGAAGTAAAAATAAATCAGGTTTACTGCACCACAATTTCCTTTTGACTCATCCGTGGTTTCCTTCTAGCTATTTATAAAAAAAAACACGCACTAGATAGTAAAATTTTACTTTGTTATTGGCAAAAACTATGAATAATAAAATTGTAAAAAAAAAATGTGAGTTTAAAACAGAAAAGTTATCGACCATTCCTTTGGTTATCTAACAAATAAGCTTTTACCAAAGCCACTATGAGAATTTCACAATCTAACTGATCTCATTATCTTAAATTCTTAATCAACTCTCTATTACTAGATTCTTCCAACCCACACCACTTGACGCCCATAGTGAAGACCAGCCAACCGAAGTTAGCGATAAGATACAAAATTACAAATACAAATATATATTTTGAATCGATGTCGCTCCTTTCCGAAAAATTACAATAGAGAATCTTTGAGAAAGCAGATCTTTACAAAAAAAAAAAAATGTAAAAAGGAAGAAGGATGGGACCCATTTCTTTCCCCAAAAATGGCAGTGCTACGAAGTTCTGGCAAATGATCAGAAAATAAAAATAAAATATATAAATTTAATTATATCGACGTAATTTGAGCCGTTAAATCGAAGGAGGTGAGAGGGTCACGTGAGGAAGTAAATAGATTAGGTGAGCAATAGACACGATAGTTGCCAGCTGTAGCCGCCATTTACATTGGTCCAACCCAACCTTCCATGCAAGATTTTGTTTTTTCTCCTTTTCTTTTTCGAATGTGAATAAAGGTCGATTGTATTCTTGTTAAAGTAAATTATTTTTGTTGATACTGTAAATGTACATGATAAAGTTCGATGGTACAGTTGGTACTGTTTTAAAACTAATTTGATGTTTTGAAACTTGAAGCCTCTCTTTAAGTTTAAGAGAAGACAAGCTAACCAACAATGTATACATGTAATTAATTACAAAACAAGTCTCTTGTTGATACTGTATGTATTGTAGGTTTTGGTTATGGTTATCACCATTTCCTGAAACAGAATAAATTTGTATGTGATTGAGTATGAATATAGATTTGGTATGTTTGAGTAAAACAAAGAAACACTAACTTGATGTACAAATCTGATTGCCTCATTCATATTGATCTATTGAGGTTTATCCGTTAGATATGAATCAATAAGCATCATAACCTTTTGACCTTTTGTTGATAATAAGTACTTAAGAGTCCGGAACATATCGTAGATCTTTCGAACGTATATATCTGGTATAGTCAAGTGATAATATGAAATATAGTGTTATATTTAAATTTGACATCATAAAGTGATATATTTTCTCTTTATTGAATTGGCTGTGTTCGAGTAGCTAGACAAGTATAGAACCCGAGTATATGTCAGTGTCATGCATGGACCTATGGTTCAATAAAAGTTTACGATTTCGTCTTGTGTCTTATTCACAGAATCATTATTATTTTTTCCCCGGGTTCACCACGTCCGTCAATAAAGAGTTGAAACAGAATTATAAACAAAATGTATCATATATAACAAATATGAGAATATGTATATAAATAGGAAAAACTTACCACACAAATAAACACAAAAATTGATAACGGGTACAGTTTAGCATGCTGTATGCAGCTAGGTATAACATTCTTCACATTTGCAAAAAACAAAAAAAAATTATGTATAACATTTTGGGTCTAAATAGTAAATGCGGAATGTTGCTGAATGCGGAATCTGGCGGAATTAAATTGTAACTTTTTGCGGAATCTGGCTGAATAGTTAGTATTGTGAATGGTAACTGCTGAATGTTGCTGAATGCGGAATGTTGCTGAATGCGGAATAAATCTAACAAATTATTTGTGTAACAGAATAACAAAATATTCATCCAATTAAATTAATAAAATAAATATAATTTAAAATATGGGATTTAAGAATCATAATTTATAATAATTTATTTATTAAACACCAAAGTTAAAAAACAAATTTCAATTTTTTTTATCGATTTATAAATGAGAACCGTCTCATAATTGCTAAGCTGCTTAATTCTCTTTCATATTGTATTCATATAAATTTTAGATGGTATAATAACCTAAAAAACTATATTAAATCTTCTTATAATTGAGTTTATTGTTTTAAGTGGTATAGACACCATTCGTTGTTCTCTTGTTTTTGCACAAAATATATGTGTTATAATTATTTAAAAATATATAGTAGATCTTATTATAACTTATACTAAAACAAGTATTAGGTACATCACCTCAATTCGGATATGCTATTCCAAACATTATTATTATTTTTTTGATTCATATTTGTAATTTGTTTTTAGATCCATAGTTTTATTATTAAGATTCCGTTTCAGACAATTTTAAAACCTGAATATTCAGAACTGATCGAATCGGAATACATTTTTTGTTGAAAATGTTTAAATCTAGATTCTTAGAAATATACAATTAAATCATTTACTTTATTATAATAAAAATTAGTAATTGTATTAAAGTTTACACACAATTTTTATCATTACTTTGATTCATCTATGTAAATTTCTTTTTTAGATCCATAATTTATTATGAAGATTCCATTTCAGACAAATTAAAAACCTGAATATTCAGAAATGATCATATCAAAATACAATTTTTGTTGAAAATTTTCAAATTTAGATTCTGGGAAATATAAAATTAAATCATTTACTTTATAATATGAAAAATTAGTAATTGTATTAAAATTTACACACAATTATTATTATTTAAAAAATCACATGTTTTGTCTTTTAGTGATAGATTCTTCAATTCCACATTCCTCAATTCTTCACAATTCTGCATAGTTAACTGGTAAGATTTATTGCTATAATAATTTAAAATTTTATATTAGATTAAGTATATTTTATACTAAAATAAAATTTTATTAATATACTAAATAAAATTCTATACTATAATAAAAGTTAATATTTTCAGTGATATTCCACAATCCCCCAATTATTGAAATTGGTGTTGGGCTAATTAGTTAAAAAAACATCCATAATTCAACAATATCTTTTTTTGGTAAAGGGATAATTGAGAGGGAATTAAATTTAAAGAAGAATTAAAGGGTTTTTTGGGGTTATTAAAATGAAGTAATAAATTTAAAGAAGAATAAAAAAAATGCATTCCACAATTCCTCAACATTCTGCAAACTCCAACTGGTGTATTAAATAAAGCATTCATCAGAATTCCTCAACATTCTGCAATATTGGTATTACTAGTTAGGGCCTTTTTCTTTGACAAGTGACAACCATCTTTTAACTACTTTGTGCAATATTTTTCCTGTTGTTCGATATTTATGGTGGGGACTAGGGTGAATATATATAATAGATTAATAGTACTTTTTGTGGGATAGTTCGATAGTGAATGCAACAAGTTGAGTCCTTTTGAAACCCACATGCCAAAGGTTTTTAGAATGATGAAAAAGACACCCCATGAGCTGCCAAAATAATTTAATCGTGATGAGTCAACAATGAGTAGATGCAAATAATGTTGGAAAATTCCCCCAGTATTAAACTATAATCTATATTCCACATCAATTTCATTACTTAGAGATATATTTCAAATTCACGAAATATGTATGAGCAATTGTATGGATTTAGTTAGAATACACTTATGCCTAACATATTATAGAGAAGGGAAAATATTCAGTTAGAGAGCATAACTAGAATTGCATGAATAATGCATGATTAGTTGACTATTTTTATATTATTTTATTTAAGTAGTAATTAAGAGGTCAAATAGATGATTATATGAACGAATATGACAGAAGTCCATTTATA